GATATGTAAAATTAAACATTCAGATCTCACTATTTATTTTTCCCCTTTGTAACATTTCAGATCAGACTGTGAACAGGCTGATGGATGTGAAAGCACGCTCAAATTCTTAGCTCAGGCAGTTGATGTAATGCATGTCTTTGTTTCATCTGAAACTTACAAAAACATTATCTAATTGGGAAAGCTGACCCACATTCCCGTTTCCTCTAAAATACTTGGAAACATTCTCACTGACTGACGGCCAGTTAAACCAATGAGTCATTTTTCCTCCAGTGCTGCAGCGAACATAAATTTCAAAAAACACTGTAGTCTCCTCCAAAAGCTGTTGGCTCTCATTAGCTGTGAAGTGGCTGAGAGATTTTTTTTAAACTGTTAAGAAAAACTACATCCTGTAACTGAAAGTGAAATCATTAATGTAACCAATCATTCTCCCAAACACTCATCTTAAACATTATACTTATTAACTTTTAAAAAATGTTGCCACTTCTTACACTGCCACCTCTATCTCATTCTGTTTCCTATCCTAAACGTTTTAGCTCATGCTGGGCCAGTAGCCCTTTGACTAACCTTTCTCAGACAGCCTAGATGCTGAGTGTCAAAATATTTTGAAACTTGGGGGGGCACCAGAGCTGAGTCCGAGCCCTTTCTTAGCCAATAGCTTTGTAGCAGGAGGTCACTGCAGAGTTGAAGAATGATACGCTTGATAGATCTTTGAAGCTCCCACCCCAAATAACAAGTTGAATATTTTCAGCTTTGAAAATGTCCACACTGAAAGGCCCAACAGTTCCCTTCTGCCCCACTGCACCCCTTCGAAGCTTTCTCCACAATTCAGAAAGCTAACAGAGTCATACAGCACGGAAACAGACCCTTCAGTCCAACTCGTCCACAATGACCAAGTTTCCCAAACTAAACTAGCCCACCTGTCTGCGTTTGGCCCATATCCCTTGAAACCTCTTCCTATTCATGTACCTACCCAAATGTCTTTTAAATGTTGTAACTGTACCTGCATTTACCATTTCCTCTGGCAGTTCATTCCACACACAAACCACCCTCAGAAATAGTTGCCTCTCCCTTTTAAATCTTTCTCCTCGCACCTTAAAATTATACTCTCTAGTTATGAACTCCCTCACCCTAGGGAAAAGACCTTTGATATTCACATTATCTATGCCCCTCATGATTCTATCAACCCTATAAGGTCACCCCTCAACCTCCAACACTTTCGTGCAGAAAGAGCCAGCCTATCCAGCCTCTCCTTATAACTCATCCTTCCAGTCCCAGCAACATCCTAGTAAATCTTTTCTGAACTCTCTCCAATTTAATAATAACGTTCCTACAGCAGGGTGACAAGAACTGCTCCAAAAGTGGCCTCACTAACATCTTGTACGACCGCAACATGACATCCTAACACCTACACTCAGTGGTCTGAGCAATGAAGGCAAGCATGCCTAGCACCTTCTTAACCAGCCAGCCTAATTGTCCCTCTCTGCACTCCCTCCAGTGCTTAAATGCCTCACTCACGTCTCAATACCAAAACTGGACAATGATGTGAACGACTTCAGGAACAGGCTCACCATTCTCGTACAATGAGAATCAATTCACTAAATTCCTTAAATTGAAAACCTGTTTCCAGCTGGAGTTTGCAGAACTCGCCTCACAGCATGGGTAGGTCTAACGTACAAAACATAAATGGGCCATTTGGCCCTCTAGAACTCTACTCTACACAAACCTCTTTCCAAACCTCTTCATAAATCTATCAGCAAACAAAACAAGTTGAATCCTGGCCAGCCTCATCTCCTGGACTAGTTTCAAGGAGGAAGGGATTGGAGAGGAATTTCCCAATGACACACCATCTAGGGATCTCCATTCCTCCACCAGTCTCTTCATTTACCCCATTTCAGTAGAAAATTGTTGAATCTACCTCTGAATTTTGATTGGTGTCCATTCTGACTCAGCTAAACTCTGGTAAGGAAAGACTGCAGCTGTGTTGCCGACTCCTCCCCTCCCAGTCCAAATTTACAAAGAATAGCAGTGAGCAGCCACAGAAGTGACAGGATCATGAACATATCCATTCCTATAACCGATTGCATCAGAAAGCAAAGGTCAGCTGGACAATCAGCTGCATGGTTAACAGCATTTTCAGAAAAACCTTGTTTTATTAAGTATACCCTGAAGGCAACTGAAGAGAATAAATTACATTTTCTTGAATTGGGTCCTAATCCTGCGACAACTTTGCATGTTAGTTGTTCAACATGAAGGATTTGATTAAATGTAATGCCCTGCAGCTAGCTCCCCATTACTCTCACCATGCATACCAATCCAATCATTCCAGCCAAAATGTCAACAATTCTGATCAGGTACTGACTGGCCACACCAGACCAACTGAGGTTCCTTATTCAGCAAAGATCTGTTTGATCAGTGGATCAGCCAAACAGATCACTAAATTATCCATCAGCAGCTGACAGCAAAGGTGCCTGCAGACACTTTATGTATGCCTTCCTTTCACTTTGGTGCTCACCTTTCCTGTGCTATTTCTCTCAGGGATTTTTTTTTCCCCCGCTATTAAATTTACAAAGGAGCACTGTCTCGCCTTGACTGTACAACTCTGATGGTCTGCCTATCCAAACACAAAGTCAGATTCTCCACATGTTAACCACCCTGTCACATCTGAATGTTAATATTAGAAATGCCATGAAGATGAACAGACAGTATCACAAATTCAACAGGTTCTTCTCTCAACAATCTGTTTCAATAAGTGTTCTGATTTGACCACATTTACCCAGTTCTACAGACATCAACGAGTGATTCAAGCTTATAGATTGCATTTGTCCCACGTGGTTTTTTTCCCACATCAAAATAAAAGGGTTTTTAAACAGAAAATAAACAAATTTCAAACCTGAAGTCAGCTGTAACTAAACAAAGGGTATCACGAGTTGGCCTTGCTCCCAAGAGGCTTCCAGCTAGCACGCAAACACTCCATGCTGGTATCCCTCAAGGTCACCTTAGCACTTGACTAAAAATCTAGGTGTGGGCAGTGGGACAGATCTCTTTCCTGGCGATCTCATTCATCCAGGAGTTGTAAGTAGCAGGAAGACCTGACTAAGCCAGGGCACAGCAGCCAGACAAGGATCCTGGAGGATTCAATAGCACAGAAGTTGGGACATCATGCCTGTCCTGGCTCTCTGAAAGAACAACCCCTTTATTCGTTCACAGGATGAGGGTGTCACTGGCCAGGCAGCATTTATTGCCCCAGAGGGCAGTTAAGAACCACATTACATGTGACTCCAAACCCACAGCAGACCAGACCAGGTAAGGATGGCAGTTTCCTTCCCTAAAGGACATTAGTGAACTAGATGGACTTTCCCCCGACAATCGGCAATGGATTCATGGTCATCATTAGACTCTTAATCCAGATGTTTATTGAAATCAAATTCCACCATCTGCCGTGGCGGGATTCGAACCTGGGTCCCCAGAACATTGACTGGGTCTCCGGATTAACAGTCCGGCAATAATACCACTAGGCCATTGCCAATTTGTCACAATTCTTTGCTCTTTCCCTAGAGGCTTGCAAAGTGCTACGAGAATCACAAAACTATTACAGCACAGAAAGAGGCCTTTTGGCCATATGGGTCTGAGTGAGATTTCAGTTAGTACTAATCTCCTTCCTTCTCCCTGTAACTCTGCACATTGTTCCTGCTCGAACAAAAAAATCTAATTCCCTTTTGAGCATAAGCTATTTCCTGCACAAAAATCAGACTATTGCAAGTTTCGAAACATAGATTTACTTGACAGTTTTGACTGGACAGGCTGTTGTTTTGAGATTCAGCCTTTGACATTATGGAGATTGAAATCCAGGTGTTCACATGAGACCTATTGTTACGTGGGCATTTATAAAAGCTACAGGAAAGATTCATTTATACCAGTGAAGGTAATGGTACAAAGGACTGTTAAATTGCCTAAAGCTTCAACAAATATGTAAAGAACTTTTGTATTCCCCGGTAAATGCACAATTTACCACAAAAGTAACCCATTGAAAGCAAAAGAGTCCATGTTTGGTTCTCCATCTTTACGATTGAAACAAAGAAGTAGTCTTATGGTGTAATGGTAATGACACTGGACTAATAATCTACTATAAGTTTGTGAAAAACGAGTTCAAATCTCACCATGGCAGATGGAGAAATCTGAACTCAATGAACAGCTAGACTGATGATGACCCTGTATTCACTGATAATTATTGCAAAAAAAAAATCCATCTGGTGTAGCTAGTGTTCTTTTCAGAAGAAAATATGCCAATCCTTACCCAGTCTGGCCTACATATGGCTCCAGAGCCACAGCAATGTGGCTAACACTTTACTGCACTCTGAAATGGCCTCAAGCCAGTTTGAGGGCAATGGGGGATGGACATCAAATGCTGGCAGTACCAGTGACACCCACATCCTGTTGAAAGAATTAAAAAGTGAACCCCAAAGTTGCTGGTTTAAGGTGGAGAACATGTGGAATGTTACCTCTTTCTAATCACCATCTATACAGGCGAGATACTCAGGGTCAGAAGTCAATGTGAAGACCTGCATGGCCGAATAGCCTGACAATAACCCTGACACGTTGAAACTGCCGACGGGGTGAGGCAACTAATCTCTCCTAATAGATTGTAAAACATCAGAGCTCCAGAGAGATGGAAATATGGAAAGAATTTTACGAGGTATTTGAAGTGTCACACAAAATAATTAATGATTTGTGATTTAAGGATAAACCTGAAACTCTCGTGATTAAAATCCCACACTTTATATAAATTGCTTAACATAATAGTTTAGTCTTAGTGTTAAAAAACAGTTAGATTTTACAACTAAAGACTTTCTTTGCAAAACGAGATCATATTACTGTTAGCTCTATAGCTTCAGAATTATTGTTCGTTGCATCAAATACATTTATGCACTACATTTAAAAAACAAAATGTTAAGCTGTCTCACACACACACACACATAAAATGAAAGCTGCAACAAGCTTACCTCTTTGAGGGCCAGCTGCCAATACGGTCTGAGCTGAGATGGAATCAGAACTGGGTTTAATCACGTTTAGGAAGAAAGGGGAGAGCAAGCAACAGGCTGCAGTCCTCGACTCCTGCACACACCGACCGGGTGACAGTTCTCCACCAGGACTCGTTTTACACAACCCGGCAGAGAAACGACCGCCAGAGACTTAGAGGAGTTAGGCAGAAGTAGTGAGGAGGGAGAGAGCTCCGGTCCTACTGGGTGGAGTTAGACAGGACTGAGCCCCGGCTGCCTGCTGGGGTGGGCTTGCACTAGGATAGTGCTGGATAAAGACATGGGGCAAAGGAAGAGGCAGAGATTAACGCCAGGAGATGGAAGAGAGACTGCATTAATCGTCGAAGCAGCCGCGAACCAGTAGATGGGGTAAGTTATTCAGCAGTGCATTGACTCAGGAGGCGGAGTGAATTATTCACCAGGGCGTTCAGCCTTTAGATTGGAAGGCGGACTCATTTGTCTACTTACACGGATTTGATCAATGAAATGGGTTCGTCACCAATGCATACTACCAAAGGATGAGACAAAGTAGCCACCAGTGGATCAACATGATAAAAGGGGTGTTATTCAGCACTGCATTAGACTCATTGGGATGGGGAAACTTCCTCAGCAATGGATTTGGGGAATGAAGAGTTGTGCACAATATGTTGAGCCAATGAATATGTTTTGTTACTCATCCATGGGGACTGCTGTCTGTAAATTGTTCAAATATTCATTAACCCATTGCTTAAAAGTGCTGGATAGATATCTCATCATGCAATTGAAGATTATGGGAATCAGTTGAGAGACTTATTTAGATTTAGTTCTTTCAATCCCAACCAGGACAATGTGGAGCAAGTCTCCACAACTGACCATGGTCCATCACTCCATCCGAGATGATGTCCAGTTCTTCAAAGTTCTCCTTAACATATAATCCACTAGTTTTTCTTTGGCCAACCTCATTTTCTCCATTCTATTGCCAATCTGTGCCCGGGAAATGAAAAATGCGCCCTACTAGTCTCAGTTAACCCTCTGTCACGATGACTATAGGCACCTCTGACTGAGTAGCACTTCTTCATTGGTGATGTTGTCTCCAATGTCCTTGTATGTTATGATCTGCCTGTACTGCATGCAAAACAAAACTTTTCACTGTACATAGTATGTGTGACAACAATAAATCAAATAAAATCAAAAACTCCAGGACCTCATGCAACACTACATTATCGTATAGGAAGAAATAATTCAGGACATTCTGAGCTGTTGGTGCTGCTGTGAAGGTCAAGGGTAGTTAGTTAGAGGGCAGTATTAAATAGTGAAGCTGCATTGATGAATAAATATCCTGGTATTCTGTTTAATTAGCTTTATAATTAAAGAAAAAAATGACCCACTGTGCTTCAAATAGGCAGCCAGAATGTAAATAATGTTATGCTTAATAGAAGGACTGGAATTGACAAACCAAACGGCCTCTGGTTCTTTACATTCTAATGATGGACTTTGTCATTTTTCTATTGTTAGCATTGCTGCAGTGAGACCGGCAGCTGTTCAACAATGTATCACGAAATGGTGTGCTCTTGCCTGCAATGGGATGGTTAGATGAACTGATAGTTCAACAATACTCAGATCTGGACGATGCTGCTTCCTTCTTATTCCAGTTAGAGGAAGCTAATTAATTTCCCTTGCATTGAGGAATGTAATGACTCCCTAATTCGATGTTGTAGTGAATGTTTATACGTACTGGCTGTATCTGAAATTGGAGTACTATTAGTCCATGTCTGTCTCTATGAGAGACAGATCAATCTCCCTTTAAACTAATCAGTGCATACATTTGATATATTTTTAAAGATCATACAGATTAATAACAATGAAGTAAGTTAATAGTGACGTTGCCCTTAGCCTGATGCAACATGGATGGAAGTCATTTGGCTCATGATTTCTGTGCTGATTCTTTGAAAGAGCAGTCTGACTCAGGGTGTGGTAGCATAGTCAGCAATTTACTGAACTTGTAACAGAAACCTGAACATATGATCCAAAGGCCTCTACTAATGATCTAGAGATCGAATCCAACAAATCCATTAATTCAAATTCAATCACAAGTAGTAAAATTCAAATTCAATTAATTGAATAAGATCTGGAATACAATGCTAGTATGTGTAATTGTGACAATAAATCCACTCATTGCTGTAGATGCCTATCTGGTTCACTAATGCTATTTGGGGGTGGAAATCTGCTGTCCATACTTGATATGACGTAAATGTGATTCCAGATCTCAAATGACCTAGTTAACCACTCAGTTGTATTCAAGGAGATGGCTCACCACAATTCTCTCAACTGCAATTAAGCATGGGCAATAAATGCTGGCCTTGCCTTACTCAGGATGCTCTGGTTCTTCTGTTAATCACCATAAATCTTTGTTTTCCAGTTTCTGATCCTACTGCCTCTGGAACCTATTTACCCCTATTTGCTCTATCAGAATCCTTTAAGATTTTGAACATGAATTAAATCCATGGAGGCCAGTATCCTGTCAGAAGTCATCCTTTATTTACATGGACTCTGACCAGCTCACTCAGAGCCAGTCCCGAGAGTGAGCAGAATCCTTGACACTCCTGTTTATATCTGTCAGCCAGGGCTCTCTATTGGCCCAGGTTAACAGCCCCAATCAGGGAACTGATACTCAATGAGATCGATCTGGCCAACCTCATTCAAATCACTACAGAACACTTCATTTATATTCAACAATACATCTTCTCTGTACAATTGTAAGTAACCCCCAGTTTCTCGTCTCTCTGTGCTGTGTTTTATCCCTGCTATCATTTTAGGTTTTCTTCTTGAAGATTTTGATATGCTTTCTAATATATAGTGCCGGCCAGAGCTGGCCCAGATACAGTGCTCCAGCTAAAAGGAGGTCTTGTGGCACAGTGGTAAGGTCCTTACCTGTGGGCTAGAAGCACCGTGTTCAAGTTCTAGGCAAGGACAGACGATTGAAGGTGCATTTGTAACAAGGCCAAACAGATTGATTGTCAGCCTATATATCGTTCCAATACCCCTGATGGCAGGTGGTAACAGTGGGAGAGATTCCTGGTCAGCCATCTTGCAAAAGGCAATGGCAAGTTCCCGCAGTACTTTGCCCATAGCATGGGCCAGTTCAGTAGAAGTCTATGGCTCAACTCTTGGAAACAAGGATGGCAGAAAAACCTTCCAGTTTGCTCCTCTGTTTCCCACTATTTGATGGCCTGAATTACACACTCAGCAGCATAACAGCCCATCTATTGTTCCTTAAGTCTAACCAAATCAATTCTGTTTTCGAACCAAAAATTAAATAATTCATTCTCGGTAAAGTACAAATGTTGGCAGACATTGCAACATGGAGAAGGTTGCATCGATGTTTTTGCAGATGGTGAAAATGTGTGACTGCACACATGCAATGTGAGACATTTGTGCATTGTTCTTATTTCCTCATGGTTGAGTGACCATTGGGCAAAAAAAGTACACAGTAAGTATCTCGTGGATATGAGAATTTGGAAAGGACTGGCACATGAATTACAGGACTTTACTGTGTTGTCCTTGTCTTTTTACCAATACTGCCATACTTATCCACTATTTTTCCTTCCTCGTCTTTCTGACTACATTGTAGCTAGGAATATTATGTGTCCTTTCCTCGCCTAGTTTAAGGCAGGGGATTGTTATTGCTGCTGTACTATATTCTCACCCCACTCCCCCAGCTACATCTGTGTCTGGGTGTCCTTGGAGAGAGAGCAACAGTGTCCACCAATTCTCTCGACGCTTTTAGAGAAAGGTGGACTCTGTAAGAGGTGGAGTGCCTTATCTCCCCTTCAAACTTTAGTTTGATTTAAACTCCTCCCCCTTTCCCTACCTCTCCCTCACCTTTGGAGATCTGCATTGTCCTTGCCAGGAATTGCACATAATTTAATTAATTGGAAAATATGGGTGATTTAGTGATAGTGGATAGTAGGTGAAAAGTACCCTGGGTGATTTCGTGGTGGGCAAAAGGACTGGTCAGTTGCATGTGATCACATTTAAGGATACAAACATAATTCCATCTGTCTTCTTGTGCTTGTTGTCACCAACCTTAGTTTCTTTCTCTTTCATGATATATGTATATTGCTGACAATGCCACAAATCTTTTGCCACTCCCTAATTGCCCTTGAACTAAGCAGCTTGCAATTAAGAGTCAACCACATTGCTATAGGTCCAGAGTCACATGTAGGCCAGGCTGAATGGGGATGGCAGATTTTCTTTCCCTAACCGACAAGCGAATGAGATGGGTTCTCAGGACCATTTCGTGGTCATTGTTAATTGATTTTCATTAATGGAATTTAAACTGCACCATCTTCCATGGTGGGATTTGAACTCACGCCCCAGAGTATTAACCTGGGCCTCTAGATTATTAGTTCAATGATGTTACCACTATACCACCACCTCATCCTATGCACATGCACACTAATGTTCATTTTAACTAATCTTGCATTCCCTCAAGTCTGATCCCTCATACTCTGAACTACTGCTTATATAGTAAAGTTCAAGAAGCTTGACACCAAACAAATCAGGAAGCTTAACATCATCCAGGACAAAGCATCCTGTTTGATTGGCATCACATCCACAAACATCCACTCCCTCCACCACCAACACTCTAGCAGCAGTCTATACCAAATACAGATGTTGATTAAATCTCCTCAGCACCTTCCAAACCCACAATCACATCCATTTTGAAGGACAAGAGTGGCAGATGCATGGGAACACACCACCTGCAAGTTCTCTTCCAAGGTGCCCCCCAAGAGGGTGCTTTGGCATATTGATCACCAGACTTAGAATTCACCTTATAATTTATTGCCTCACCTAGATTTTTCCAAGATAACAGATGTTGTAGAACATGTATTCAGATTTTATTGTGCAGATCTACAATCTCAGCTCAAGTTTTGCTTTGGAAATCAACAACAGCAGCAATGATAAAAAAATACAAAGTATTTATGTATGTAGTAAGACATGGAGAGTTTTACACAGAGATGGGAAATCATCACTATATTTACTTACACAGTGGAGGAAGAGGACAAATACCAATAAGTCAAAATGGAGGAACAAATCTGATTTAATATGTAAAAGAAAATGAATAATGAAAACAATGGAACTTCAGATAAACAAGAGTATAATGTGGGCAAAATTGTTCATTTTTGGCAAGTAGACTACAAAAGCATATTATCTGAATGGTGAAAGGTTGCAGTGCTCTGAGATATAGAGAAAGCTAGGTGTCCTGATGTATGAATCACAAAAGGTTAGTATGCAGGTAGAGCAAGTAATTAGGAAAACTAATAGAATATAAGTTATTTTGAGGGGAATTGAATACAAAAGGGATGCTACGCTTCAGTTATACAGGGCACTGGCGAGACCACATCG